CCCCTGACCTTCTGTTGAGACAACTCTGTGTTGCCCAGGATGGCTTAGAACTTGTTATGTAGCCCAAGCTGGCCGCAAACTCACAAAACATATTTTTCATCCTCTTGAGTGCCAAGATTACAAATGCATGCAGTGACACCTGGCTTATGCTTACATGCAAATACAACCAAATTCCTAAACATAAATTCTTAAAATTCTAAAATTGCTGGGTCAGACCAACAGGCACATGTTATTTTAGCATGTGCTGCATTGTTCTCCGCCCTGCTTGTTTCCTGTGCTTTGGCCAGTAGACTGTCTTAGCAGAGGCTCTGACACAGTGTGACCCATGGAAAAGGAGAGGAATGACTTTAGAGAATCATTCCCTCCGCTTCTGTTTCTCTTTGGTTACTGCCCTTCCTGAGCTGCAGTAGGGCTTGATAATTAAGTGTGTTATAGATATTTCTCTCCGTGTGATGTTTGTCTTCAGCTTGACTTTTGATTGTGATGTATTTCTGTAAAGTCCCCTGTGCTTAATTAAATTTATCAGGGTCTACTGGATTTTAGGTCATGTTTTGAGATATGAATAATCTTTTTTTTCAGGCACTTGTATAATTTAAGTTTACTTGTAGGCTGTGTGTGTGTGTGTGTGTGTGTGTGTGTGTATGTTTTCATGTGAGTGGGGAGGTTCCCTCAGAGAAGCTGGAGTTACAGGCAGGAGTAAACTGCCTGACAAGGGTGCTGGTTTAAGACCAGTGAGTGCTCTTAAACACCAAGCTGTCTTCAACTCTGATTTTATAGGGGGAGTTGAGGAAGGGTGGCTTTAAATTTCTAACTATGAATCAAATAATTCTATCTGGTTGTTCCAAAATCAAGCATTGAAAATTTTGTCCCTTCCTGGTGTGAAATGCCCTGAGAGGAGATTGCGTGGATCCGTTGTCTGTCCAGCAGGAGCATGTGCTTTTTAAAAGGGAATAGCCGTGTAAAGTGTCTTGTATCTGCCATAAAACAGAGCATAATCTTCTATACACAATGAGTATGGGCTTAACTTTTACTTTTTTTATATGTACATGGATGAGTGTTTGCCTACCTGTATGTCTGTGTACCACGAGCATGTTTGGTGCCTGTGGAGGCCAGAAGAGAACATGAGATATCCTGGAGCTGGAGCTACAGATGGTTATGAGCTACCATGTGGATGCTGGGAACTGAACCCAGGTCATCAGCAAAAGCAGCAAGTGCTTTTAAATGCTGAGACGCCTCTCCAGCCTCTTAAAAAAAATTTTTAAAGATGTATTTATTTTATGTATATGCCTACACTGTCGCTGTTTTCAGATACACCAGGAGAGGGCATCGATCCCATTACAGATGGTTGTGAGCCACCATGTGATTGCTGGGAATTGAAACAGACCTCTGGAAGAGCATTCAGTGCTCTTAACCTGTGGGGCATCTCTCCAGCCTCATGCCCCCTAGAATTTCAAGACATCTTTTACATTATACCTCCCTCTCCCTCTCCCTCCCCCCCTCCCTCTACCTCTCTCTTTCATTATGAAATTGGGAGTTTTTGACTCACAGGACAGCTTGCAAAGCCTTCACTTACAGTTCCATGACAACTATAAAATGAATGCCTGCATCACCACCATATACTTCAAGATACAGGCCACACCTGGTCCCTAGGCTTCTCTGTCCCCTCCTTTCCTTTTTTTGTCCCTGAACCTCCGGAAGCCATTGTCTTGAATTTAGTAGCAATGCCATCCTTGCTTTCCTTTTGAGAATGGCTTTTTCTGAAGGTCAGAATTCATTGTCAGAGTGGCCTGTGTCATTTTGCACCTCTGTGTGGATTTCTAAGCAGCATGGCTTAGTCAAGCTTGTCTTTGAATGTTTAAGTGGAGTCCCGCTTTGCGGGTTGAGTCCTGGGCTTGAGTTCCTCGCTGTGGTCTTGTGGTGGTAGGCTGTCAGTGCTCATTCTGGATGCATCCCAGCTTTGAGTACTACATTTTCTTTATCCATTCCACTGTTGCTGGATTGTGAGTGTGTGTTGGTTAGTGTGTGCTGTTATAAATAACCACACACTGGACAGCTTAAACAACATTCTCACAGTTCAACAGCTGAAAATTCTAAGGTGGATATGTTCAAAGACCCTGTACCTGGTGAGGACTCCCTTTCTAGCTGGGATGTAGGCTCTTCCCTGATGTGTCCTCACTTGGTCCAGAGCATGGGCCAGGAGAAGAACTAAGACTCCTGTGTCTCTTTGGCATGTAGGTGTGTATGTGCTTGCTTGTGTGTGGGGACCTGACATCCACAACAGATAACTTCTTGGTCGTCTCTACCTTATTTTTTTAAGACGAGGTCTTTCCGTGAACCTCATCAGTTTAGCTAGGCTTGGCTAGCTAATGAACTCAAAGGATCCACCTATTTTCTACACACACACACACACACACACACACACACACACACATATACACACACACTGTCCCACCTCCTTAGGTTGTGTTTATAGGTTGCCATGCCCAACTTTTTCATGCTTGCTGGGCATCTGAACTGGTGACTCATGATTGCACTGCAAGCGCTTTACCTCTTCCCAGATCCCGTGTCTCTTCTAAGTATTGTGCAGATTGAGAGGAGGAGGGAGGGAGCGAGAGAGAATGAGAACACAAGAACATACATGCGTGAAGATATCCCGTGGGTTATAGGCAGCAGTTCTGCTCAGTATGGATGGATGTTAGCAACTGAATGCTGCCCCTCTATATAAGAGATCTTAACTGCTGAGCCATCTCTCCGGCCCCAAGGCTCACTTCAATGGCTTAATTCTTGGAAACCTCACCTCTTGGTGCCATCACACTGGGGTTCAGACTTCAGCTTATATATACTGTTGGGCACAGTCTTTCTAACCTTCCACGCTGCCCCCAGTTTTAACTATTGCTAATAATACTATGAGAATACTTTCATATGTGTTTTTATGTGTGTGACCAGAATTTCTTATGGAATCAGATAACAAAGGATGGCTTGCCGCAACGTTTTACTGTAAATTTGTGTGTGTGTATTTGGAGGTCAGAGGGCAATTCATAGGAGCTGATTCCTTCCTCTTTCTCCTGAATGGAGTCCAGAGATCAAACTCAGATCATCAGGTTTGGTGGCAAGTGCCCGTACCCACTGAGCTATCGCACTGGCCCCAGGTTTTCCTTGTTTAAAAGACAATATTGAATTTTATTTTTTGTAATTAATCATTTCCTTTTCTGTTCCTCATAGTTGTCTCCCTGACAGCAACCAAACTTAACCAACCTAAGTATGTGTGGCTCACAGTTACAGTCTGACTGCCTATTAGCCTTGCAGGATCCATTTGGAACACTTGACCAAAGTGATTACTGCTCTTGGAATCTGTCTGATTCTTTCACTTTGAAAAATACATTTAAGCTCATTTAAAAGGGTACACAAGTTAATAGGCCATCTTCTTTCAGCAGATAAAGATGATATTAGCAATTTTAAAGTGAGCGGTGAGAACTCGGGCACCACACAACCAGCTCTCCTCTCATTCTGCGATGCTTCCACTGCCCCCAAATAAAACTCCATGGGGCTAGCCACCAGTCTTCCCTTGCTACAAATATATCTGCTGGGACATTTGCATGAATGGAATCATACACTGTGGCGCCTTTCTGGCTCCTTTCACTTAGTGTTTTCAGGCCTCACCAATGTCAGCATGTATCAATACTTTGTTTCTATTTATTTTTAACTGTTACATTTTATGATGAGGGATGTGTGGTCGCGGGGCCAGAACTTGCAGTTGATTCTTTCCACTGGGTAGGTCTCAGGGATGAACTCCAGACTCTAGGATTGCATGACAAGCACCTTTACCCACAGAACCAAATCACCAGCCCCATTTTTGATTATTTTTTTAGCCATGGTAAAATATTTTTAACACAAAGTTGCCATTTACTCATGTATAAATGCACATGCTGTTAGGGTCATTGACTACATGTGCTATATTATTCTGCCCTCACCACTGTCTGTTTCCAAAAGTTTGTCACCTTAAACCACCCCCCGTGTCTGTGAAGCCGTAACAGTCCCATTTCTCACTCTTCCAAGCCCTTGGTAACCTCTAGTTCACGTCCTGTCTTTATGAATCTGTCTCTTCCAGATAATTCATGTAACTGAATTCTTTTTTTTTTTTTTCTTTTTTAACTGAATTCTTAATATATGTGTAATTTTGCTTTTGAGACAGAGTCTCTTGTAGCCTGAAATAGACTTGAATTTGCTATGTATTCAAGGTTGGCCCTGAACTCTTGATCCCCCAGTTACTGGGATTACAGGCATACATCACTGTACTTGCTGTGTCTAACGTATTTTACTAAAGTTTGTCTATGTGGTAACAGTTTCAGAACTTCATCCCTGCTGGGCCTGGTACACAGGCCTGCAATCTACCTACTCAGGAGCCTGAAGCAGGAGGATTTCAAATGCAAATTCAGACAGTGTAATTTAGCAATACTCTGTTTTAAAATTTTTTAAGGGGGCTGGGAATAATACCTCAACGGCGGTAGAGTTTTTGTACAGTATGCTTAAGGTCTTGCATCCAACCCGCAACACTGCAGCAAAGAATTCACTCCTTATGGCCAAATGAGCATAAGTGGAGTTGGAGGCACCATGTTTAACTTATCTCTTGTCTGTTGATGGATAGTTGTGTTTGGAGGGGCTGTTGCTGTGAACCATGGAGTTGATTCCTTCTTGGGTATTTCTGGGGTAGTTTGATGACTCTTAGCTTTGTTGGCTGACAGTGAGCTCAAGTCCAAATGGTTAGACCACAGTCTTGACAATACTTGATTTTATCAGATTCTTGAATGTTCCCATTTGATGGATATATTTTATTGTGAATTTAATTTTATTGTGCATTTCCTAATAGGGATGGAATACAGTTTTTACATGTTTATAAGCTATTTGTAGCATACTTATTAACTTCCTATTAGTGGTTTGCCTTTCTGAATTAGAGTTGCCTAATTGTCTCCAAATAATTCTTGCTCTTGGTATTTCTGCAGAACAAATAGTGGAGAAAGATGAAGGTCCATATTACACTCACCTGGGATCTGGCCCCACAGTAGCCTCTATCCGGGAACTCATGGAGGATCGGTGAGTGATGCTGACGTCCAGGGAGCATGGGGTGTATCTAGAGGGGTGTGCTAGTCCCACATCTGGATGGTGGCAGGTTCCGTGTAGGAATTTTCCTTCCTGTCTTGGGTTTCATTCTGTCTGTAAGTCTGCCTTGTATTGGCCCCCACCCCTTCTCTTGTTCCTGGAAAGGCTTTATTGAAGAAACCCTGCTGTGTGGTGTTATGTCTTAAGGAGTTAGTTCCCATAGCCTGATTATCTTGGATAGCTTTTCTACAGTGTTCTTAACATATGCTCCCTTGTTTTCTCACCCCCCCCCAACCAAATTACTTTGTAAGTGGAGTCTTCCTGATTTCCTATATAAGATGCTACTGCACATTTATCCAAGAAGTCCTGAAAGATTCTGGGTATTTGGGGGTCAGGGTACACACTGCTACAAAAGCGATTCGTTATTTTTAGGTTGCTTTAGAGGAAAAGACCAAGTTGCTCTTTTTGGTGGGGGTTGGGGGCAAGATATCAAGGGTTTACCAATTCAGTACTGAATGGGAGGGGAGTTCATTTGTGTTTGTTCAGTCCTGGAACTCACTCTATAGCCTAGGCTGACCTCGAACTCAGAGATCCGCCCGTCTCTGCTTTCCTGTGGATTATTTAACAGCTCTTTTTTCTTCCTCCTTTCCTTTCCTTTCCTTTCCTTTCCTTTCCTTTCCTTTCCTTTCCTTTCCTTTCCTTTCCTTCCTTCCTTCCTTCCTTTCTTTCTTTCTTTCTTCCTTTCTTTCTTCTTCTTTTCTGTCTTTCTTTCTTATTTCTTTTTTATTTCTTTTTTTTTAAAGCCTGTTCACATAAAGACTTTTTATGGAGACCTTGTTGTTTTGTGTGTCCTGGAAATCACTGTGTAGACCAGCCTGTCTTCAAACACAGGGCTCTATCTGAATCTGCTTTCTGAGTGCTGATATTAAAGGCATGTGTCATCATGCCTGGCTCACATAGAGCCTTTAAAGTCTGTGCACAGACCACAGCAGGTATTAGTTCCTAGTTGCTTTCTGTGGAGTGTGGCGTAGCTCTCTGGCTGAAGTGTGGATGCTGTAGCTACCGGGGGTCCCATCTAGATCCTGTAGTTACTGCTGAGTCCCCTGGAGCAGTTATGTGACTGTTCTCTAATCTACAAAACAGAGCTGGCACAAGGATTTAGATAGGAGTGCTATGCACGTAGACTGAACAGGCATGAAGCTGAAGTGCTTGTTACAAGTGCTCAGAAAATGGTGGGCTGTCTGTCGGGTGTGTGTGTGTGTGTGTGTGTGTGTGTATGTGTGCGCGCGTGCGCGCACACTGATATTTTCAAAACTTACCATTTAGAATTTTAAATAAAACCAAAGCAAAGGTGGTCTAGGTCTGCTTGTGCATATACACACGTTTTGTGGAAGGCTTAGTGGCTTAGGTTCTACAAACATGGAAGCCTCGTCTTGTGTGACGGGGGAGCCGGGCTAAGCCTGTCCGTGCACAGGGACCGGGATGGAGCCTGGATCTGCTGTAAGCTGGGTAAATGAAGGTCACTGACCTGCAGTAATCATTCTTTATTTCCTATGCCATCTGGAAACGTTTCTATTCCAAATAACCACCAGAAAAGTCTGTCTGATCAAAGACTCACTCTAAATGCAGTTCTGATTTATAGGGCCCCGCCTGAGCCCAAGACAAGAGACGTAGATGTATGTCTTTATGTCCTTGCCATAGGCCTTCTTGTGTGCCTGACACAGTTTGCAGACTGCACCAGGCCACATTTGGATAGTGACTTTCGTTTACTGTTGGGTTTTTTGTTGTTTGGGGGGAGGGGGACATTGTTTTTTGGGTCTTTTAGTTTATTGAGATAATTCTCACCCAGGCAAACCTCAGACTTAACTGTGTATCTGACACCATCCTGGCCCTCCTGCCTCTGCCTCTAAGTCTTGGGTCTGACCCACCACTCCAGGCTTGGCCAGTGGTTTTGGTAAGGGATTGCTGTGCTTTATTTGCTCAAGTTTGAGCTGGGAGAGTGTATTGTAGTTTTAGTTCGATTTGGTTTTACTCCTTAGGAAAGGGATGTTAATAATTTTATTAGATTTCCAGGCAGCTTTCTAAGTAACTTTTAACTTTAGCAGAGTACATTCTGAAAGGAGGATTTGGAGGGAGGGAGTGGTGAGACTGTACTTCTTTCCCTCCCTGCTGTAAAAATAACAGCCAACTATAGAGTCTTCAGACACAGATCCAAGGGAGGAACTGCTCCAAGAGCTGGGGGTGCTTGTTTTTTTCCTCGGCACATGGCTTGTTTCCACTGGAGGACCCCCGAGTTATGGAGCAGGTTATGACTCCATCTTAATATTGTCTGCCAGTGAGTTGAGAGCCTGGTCTGCTTACTCCTCCCTAGGAGGAATGTGAGGGCTTACCTTTGCTCGTGGGAGTCTGTCTTCTCAGGCTGCCCCTGAATCTCGCTGACATGACCCTATGGACTCGCTGCTAATTTGATTTCCCATAAGACAAATTCTTCCAGGCTCATCTCTTAAACACACAGAGCCTGTGATGACATTTGTGTAGCAAATGTCAGCTCCTCTCTTTTCTGAGTTTAGCTTACAGATGTCTTATTATTCTGGAGTAAGGAGGGAAGCAGATGGACAGTGGCTTTCTTATGAGGTGATGTTTGTGCCTTGTCCCAGCTGATGTTGCATGCACCATCTTCACTTCTTCTTTGCAGCACTACTGTATTGTCAGGTGGGCCAGAGTCAGGGACGGGCATACACTGACGTCAAGGGGATTTCAATGGCTGTTAGCTATTTGCAGGGCACAAATCTGGAGGAGCTGGTGGGGTTAAAAATAAATTCTAAAATATCCCAGTGTGCTTATGGGCATCACACCATCCCAGATACCCAGGTCCTGATGTTAAAAGATTTTTGGAGTCAGTTGTCAAGCTCCAATCTGAAGATGGCCCACTACCCAAAGCCTTGAGTTCTATCAAGGAAAAGGTCCTCTGCAGCCCGGCACTGCAGAGAGCCTGCACTGCTCAAGGGTTCTGTGAGCTTTGGTGGAGTGTTCTCAGTAGTGTGCTAGAGCTTACCCTGGTGAAGGCCAGGTTTCATGCTTCTCAAATTTAAGCAGGAGTCGTCATCCAACGCTGCCAAGGGCTCATGAAAGCACACTCGGGACACTGGGCCCCATTCTGGGTCTAGGTGGGACCTGAGAATCTGCCTACTTTCCTGGCTCCCAGGTAGTGAGACTCTCTAACAATCCTGGCGCCAACCTTCAAGAACCATAGGCCAAGTTGTTAGCTGTCCTCCTTGAAGCAAGCTTCAGCCAGTCTTTGCAGATGCAGAGTCTGGTAGTGTTCATTCTTCATGATAAGCCAGGAAGTAAGACATGTAAGCAACAAGTCAAGTTCTGTTCCAAGAGGAAAAGGGGCCAGTGAGGAGACTCGGTGGGCAAAGCCGCTTGTTCTCAAGCCTGAGTGCAATCTTAAACCATCAAGGTCAAAGGAGAGACTGATAGGCTGTCCTCTGACCTTCACACATACACCATGACACAGCCCTCAAGTGTCTTAAAATGTTTGTTTTAAAGGAAAAAAAAAGAATCTAGCTGGGTAGGTCACTTGGCCTTTTCTTTTTGGTCTCTAGCGCAACCTTTGAGGCACTTTCTCACAAGGACAGGACAGTGGGGAAGGAGCTGGTCAGAAAGCCAGCACCAGTGTCCTCGGCTCACCCTCCTGAAGGGAATATGATAGTCCCTCTCTGAGTGCCGTGGCAGCCTCATGCTGGTCTCCAGCAGAGCTCCCTAGATAGGTCCCAGGCCTGCCCTTGGGGGTTGTGTCCTGATAAAGCCTGTTGGGCTGAGACTTGTGCAGACACCAAACAAAAGCTATGCTGTCGTGTCAGGTCCTGCTACAGAGGCTCTGAATGGTGTGTGCAAGCACTTCCTATAAGGGACCGGCAGCCCTTGCCCATTAACGTGGTCAGAAACACTTCTTGCCCTCCCCTGAGAGCTGAGTGAGAGAGACAACTTAGTTTAGTGTTTGAAGAAGAAACTCTGTTTCCTTTTCAACCAGGGAAATGCAACAAGGAAGCTTTTTGGAAACAGGCATCTAAGTACTGGCTGGGCATGGTACATGCCTGTAATCCCAGCCCCTAGGAATCTAAGGTCGTGAGGAGTGAGTTCCTAGACCAGCCTAGGCTACATGATGAGAGTGCCTCCCAAACCCCCCCTTAAAAAAGAAAGCCATCAGCACAGAGGGCAGAAAGCACCTTGGCTACTGTTTTTTTTTTTTTTTTCTACAAGAACCTTTGTTAAAGGCAAAATATACATAGGTATATATAAAAATTATAGATCAAGGTGATTAATCATGCCTGCCTTTGTGCCACTGAGCTACATCCAAGACCAGTGCCCTTGCTGGGTTGATTCTGGGGTATAGTGATTCATAACAGTAGAGCAGATGAGACAGAGAATGGGGCGTCTTCAAACTGCAGACATCGGGATAACATTATGCCTTACTAAATGGCATACTCAAATGTCATGATCAAACTGAACTCACTACAGAATACAAGGATAGTTTTACTTAATCTTTTAAAAAAAGAGCTTGGAGCTTGAGAGATGGCTTAGCAGAGTGCTTGCCAGGCAAGCACAAGGACTGGGGTTTGGATCTCAGCACCCAGAGAGCGAGCCATCAGTCCGGAGAGTGCCTGTAACTTCAGCTCCAAAGATCTAATGCGCTCTCTGGCTTCCATACACTCAGGTGTGCACACTCACACAAACACAACGTACACAGGGTGAATCCATCCTTTAAAGAATATCACATTGTTTAAAGGAAAATGCTTTTGTCACCTGTCTCCTTAGATGATAAAATGCATTTGCTAAGTCAGTCAATGCCTTTTAAAGTTCCTGCATTCTAAAGGAGATCCTCAGGGCAGGGCACTCTTCAAAGAAGACTGTGCCCCATACTGAGAGATGGGGGAAACACTCTTAGTAAGGTCCAGAATGAGCGAAGATGCACATAGCCTGTCAGGAGCTCAGTCAGTACAGAGAGAGACTGAAGAGTATACAAGCCAGATGGCAAGTGACCCTTGTCTGCAGAAGATGGCTTTTATGTTGTTAATGGGATTTACTGAATTCCTCCCTAATACTTGACGTGCTTTAAGTAGTACATGTGCATCAAGCCTGGGACGTAAGACTATCCCTATGTCCAGTTTACGTCTGGGAAGACTGAGGCCCAGATGGAATCAGTAACTTGGCCACAATGATGTAGCTAGAGACTGGTTATCTGCCCACCAGGCTGTATTTGAACTAGCCTTGCCCCATGTAGTTGTGTGATACATGTTTATGGTCATAGTTGTGTCTATAACCATTGTGTGGTTGAGTAAGTGATGTCAGAGGCCTTTGACTCTTCAGTACTTAGGCTTGGGCTCCCAGGAAGCCGGCATATACAGGGGACTGGGGACAGCCTTGTCCACTGTATGACATCATTGGTGTTTGGTAGAGTCACTCCCCCCAGCATCCTTCAGTCAGAGGTCAGCTGGGGTGGTTATAAAAGATCAATAGGCTCTCTTGTACTCGAATGTGCATGTGTACGCACACAAGCACACACTCTTTTGTTCATTTGTATATTGAATTTACTAGTAGTTACTGGGTAACTCAGGGGTCCTTGGCCAGCAGGCTGAGTGCAAATGCCTGTGGGTTCAGGCAACTTCGTCAAGTCTTAAAAGTATTCAGGCACTATTCTGCCTAATTGTCCCTCTGCCTGAGGACAGAGGCAGGCAAGTTGAACAGGAGCAGAGGAGGAAGGAGCATGTGAATCAAGACTGGAAGTTTGGATGTAAGCCCTCCAAAGCCTCTGAGCACAGAGTGGCTGTGGTTTCCCCCTTTCCCCTCTCTGTAGTGAGAAGCCCAGACAGAACCGCCAGGCCCGCCTCCTAACATTGGGTACTCACTGATGTGGCTTCTGTCCTCTCTAGGTATGGAGAGAAGGGGAAAGCTATCCGGATCGAGAAGGTCATCTACACAGGCAAGGAGGGGAAGAGCTCTCGAGGCTGTCCCATTGCCAAGTGGGTGAGTGCTGGTTCTCCACAGCTAAGCTGTATCTGGGCGTCCTTATGCCTGGGCTCACATCGCAGAACAGGTTGCAGGGTAGGTGAGCAGGAAATAGACATTTGCCATCGTGGGGCCCTGGAGCCAATGACCCTGTGGCGGCAGATCATCTTTGTCCTACTTACCTGCCAACAGCAGGCATCCTGTGCCTGTGTCAGGAACTGTGTGCAACTCCTGGGGGAAAACTGTAGATACAGGAAGGGGGAGGAGCTGGAGTGCGGCTGGCCTAACCCCAAAGACTTGACTCCTCTTCTGTGTGTCTGAGTGGCCAGTATCCTCCCCTACCTGGAAGCCAGGGAAGATTCTGAAGGCTGACCTACATGAGCCAAGCGGAGGGACAGGATGAGGCCTCTGGGTAGTATTATGATGAGGCTTGCTTCTTGCCAGTCTCTAAGCAGGGATCTTGAGCGTCTGGTCAGGGAGAAGTCACTGACAGACCCCAGTTCCCTCAGCTTTGCCCTCTGAGCCCTCATCCAGCTCTTGAAATCCTGGATGTCTCCTGCTGCTATAAGGCTGGCTTAGAGTGAGGTTGACTCTTGGTAGCTGGTCCATGTTCCGTGCTCTAGGCACCCTGGAGGCGAGATTACAGAGACCTGGAGACACAAGGTTTAACCAAGAGATGACCAAGGGACAGGGGCTGGATGATTGTTGAGGCTGGCTACCCTGGAACGCAGACATGAACAGGGCCACAAACATTAAGTAGCCCAAGGAAAAGAAACATTTCTGGTGAGGAGGGCCACATGGGCCAAGGCAGGAAGGCTGCAGGAATGTTCACAGAGCTGACTTGGATGTCAACTGCACACTTGCTGTCTTCTTCCCCTGGGATCACTCCTTGCCTCTCTGCATCTCTGCGTTTAATGAAAATAACACATCTCAACTTAAAATGTCACATACTCCTTCTCGGCACTTCCTAGCCATTATTGTAGGACTTTTCATAACAAAGGAACCTGGTGCTTTTTTAAAAAGTGTGAAGATGCATGTTGTGTCTAACCCTCAGGAAGTGGCCCTTGAAGTAGAAGGTCTAATGTGGTAGGAGCTGCCTCTTCAGAGAACCCACCTGGAAAATGACATCAGTCAGAAAGAGTAAGCAGAGTTTGACCAGAAGGCCTGGAGAACCCTGGTCCAGGGTTCATATGAGAACACTCTCCTATCAGCATCTGCAGAAATGTGTCAGTGCCCACAATGGGCCTCCTACAACCTGCTGGGAGCCAGGCAATGGGTCAGAGGGTCTTGAAGTAGCATTTGGCCCAGTACCTTATTGGTGTGCTTCTGAATTCCAAAGACACATTTCAAAAATAATAGTTGATTGTTGGCAGAAAAGTGGGGGATGACATCATTGTGACCCTGCCTTAGACCAAGACCTCGTGATCATGGTATGTGTCGTTTAGCATGTAAAATATTCTGTAACATTTGCAGTAAGTCACAAAACAATCTGTAACCAGCAGAACACCTTGGGAGCACTAGCAGTTGTGAGTTATAGATTGTGTGTGATTCCACATCCACAACGTACTTCAGAGTCAGGTGACAGAGGCTGAAGGGACAGTGCTGAGGGGTGGGAATATAGCTCAGTTACAGAAGGCTCGCCTAGGATGTACAAGACCCTAGACACAATTCTCAACCGAGCTAAAATAAATACAAAATGTGCAGTTGACAAGATGGCTCAGTGGATGAAGGTACTTGTACACAGGCCTTGTGATATGAGTTCCATCCCTAGAACAAAACTGTCTCCTAAGTTATCCTTTGACCTGCATGGGGCATGCACAGGCATACTAATAAATGTTAAAAAGAAATTTTTAATTAGAAAAAGCTGGAGAATGATCTTAGGAGTTGGGGAGCATCAGGAGGGGAGAGTTGGAGCATTCTATTCCATGAAGTTGCAGCTTCTTCATTTATTGGGAGTAGAAGTTCTAGATCAACAGTTCTCAGTCTGTGTTGACCCCCCCCCTTTTTGGGGGTCGCATATCAGTTATCCCGCATATCGGATATTTACATATTCATAACAGTAGTGAAAATACAGTTATAAAGGAGCAATGAAAATAACGTTATGATTGGGGTCACCACAACATGAGGAACTGTGTTAAAGGGTCACAGCGTTAGGAAGGTGTTCTAGAGGAAGTGGTAGCTTCATGCTGAATGAGCCTAAAGCCACTAAAAAGCACACTAATCGTGTCAGAGTTTGTTATGCATACTTTATCATAGAAACAAAAGGTGTGGTACTTGTGCCCTTAAACCTGGAGTTTAGGGGACTGTGAGATGGCACAGACATCATGGTTTTACTACAGTAGCTTCAATGCCATTTCTGGCCTCTGGGGGCACTGCACTACGTGGTCACATAATGTCCTGAAGCATACAAATACATATACATAAGTATCTAAATAAAGAAAAGAATCTTAAAGTTTTTGGCCAAGTACAGTGGTGCACACCTTTAACCCCAGCACTCGGGAGGCAAAGGCAGGCAGATCTCTGTATTTTCAAAGCCAACAAGTCTACATAGTAAGTTCAGGAACTGCTAGGACTACATAGTAAGACTGTCTTTTTTTTTTTTGGTTTTTTGAGACAGGGTTTCTCTGTGTAGCCCTGGCTGTCCTGGAACTCACTCTGTAGACCAGGCTGGCCTCGAACTCAGAAATCCGCCTGCCTCTGCCTCCCAAGTACTGGGATTACAGGCCTGCGCCACCACCGCCCGGCTAAGACTGTCTCAAAGAAAGGACAGGACAACTAAGTAAAGCTCTTCGTTTCCAGTCTTTCTTATAAACAGGAGATGATAGCTGCAATGGGCTGAGGTGCCCTCAGGAGAGCTAGGCATCCCAGCTTTCGATGAACAGATGTCCTCACTGAGCCCTGACTTTGTCAGGCCCCCTTTCCTTCTTGGCATTGCCAACCTAGCCACTCCTTTTCTGTGTAAGCTGCAGAGTGTGAGGATCAGGTGTGACTACATCTGTCTGCAGCCTAGGTCCTTCCCTCAGACTGTTTTCCACAGTGTTATTCCCCGAGTGTAAACGTAGATACACAGCACTTTCTCTGTCCAAGGGTAAAACAATAGCTATGCAACACCTTCTCTGTAGACATCCTGCGACATCATAAAATTCTACACTACACTTCTAGTTCACATTTCTTTTATTCTTTTGAGTCTGTGTTGGTCACAAATGTCTTAGACTTCATTGTCATTATTTTTTATTTTGCTGTTTTAAAATGTTGTGTTTCTTCCTCCCTAACGGTGCTGTCCTAAAGACTCACAGCTGCAGGTCTGTGGGGTAGTGAGTGGCATGCACCATGCAGAGCTGTGTGGCCCTCTGCAGGGGAGTAGCTCAGTCCCACGTCTCTGCAGGTGATCCGAAGACACACACTGGAGGAGAAGCTGCTGTGCCTGGTGCGGCATCGGGCAGGCCACCATTGTCAGAACGCCGTGATTGTTATCTTGATCCTGGCCTGGGAGGGCATCCCTCGAAGCCTTGGAGACACCCTCTACCAGGAGCTCACTGATACCCTCCGGAAGTATGGGAACCCTACCAGCCGGAGATGCGGCCTCAATGATGAGTATGTACTGGAGTGGTGGAGGTGGCAATTGGGCCGCAGGACTGGGGTAGCAGGCACTGGGCTGCTGGGTAGCTCTGAGTTCTGGCCCTGGCTCAACCTCATTGTTCAGCCCTAGACCAACATTAACCTATGTTTATTGGATTTTCCTACCTTTTCATCGCCATGTATTTAGTTTCAGTAAAGTTACCCTTTCAGTATATAATTTGGAGGATTTTGTTTTATTTTTGTTGAGACAAGGTCTTGCTCTCCTGGAACTGGCTATGTAAATCAGGATAGTCCTGAACTCAGGGAGCTCGAAGCCTGCCTCTGTCTCTGGAGTGCTGAGTTTAAAGTCATGCTCTACCACCCCCAGCAATTTAGAGGATTTTGCTATAATCATGTCACCCAGTCAAGATTGAGTCCACGAGATGCCTCAGTGGGTAAAGGCAATTGCCACCATGGCTAACAACTTTAGTTCATTCCCTAGGACCAAATATGATAGAAGAGAATAAATCCTGAAGTTGATGCCCACATACACATGTGCACACATGTGCACGCATGTGCACGCACATGGAAGCATGCAGAACTCCTGTACCCTTCATCTACAATCTTTCCCCCAGCCCTCAACAACAACGTGTCTTTCCTGTCTGGTTAAGTTTGCCCCTGAAAAATTTTGCTTTCAGACTCATACATTACGTACCCTTCTGAACAGGTATGTTTCACCAAGCATTGAGTGTTCAGAGAATAACCTATGTTGGGAAACTTGGAGTTGTAGGGTATAAGGAAGAGCCCTTGTTGCCAGAGGCTAGTGGAAACCAGTCCTCTGCAGGGGCCGGATCACCAGAGAGCACATCTGCATGTTTGGCCTGTGTTATACATTGCAGCCGGACCTGTGCTTGCCAAGGCAGAGACCCTAACACCTGCGGTGCCTCCTTCTCCTTTGGCTGTTCCTGGAGCATGTACTTCAATGGCTGCAAGTATGCCCGGAGCAAGACACCACGGAAGTTCCGCCTCACAGGAGACAATCCGAAGGAGGTGAGGAAAGCAGTGCTGGGCACACGGCAGGCCCCCTACCCCCCATGCCTCGCCATCCGCATCCTTAACATCTATGCAGATGCCATAGCACAGATGGACAGAAAATGTATTACGTTAGCAGTGTGAAAACCGAGGACTGCTGGCTCTAGGTGCTCAGACTCGTAACCAGAATGAGCACTGTGTCCTTTTCACCTCTGCTCCCTCCTCCTGCTTGTACTTCTGGGGTGTAGGGGTCAGGAGTCTAGTCCCTCTGCTGGGGTATAAGCATCCTCACCATCCTGATGCCAGGCTTGGTCTTCCAGAGCTTGAGTCTCCTAGGAAGTAGGCTTCCCACTATGCCAAGGTCAGGGACATCCACTGGGCACCTCTTCTGTGTTCCATTGCCCATGTAACTATCGTCCTGGCTGCTCTTCGTGAACTAAATGCATCGTTTTCAGGGACTAGGGCAGTGCTTAAGAGCACAGCTCTTCCAAATGACCTGAGTTTTTGTCCTAGGACCCACATTGTGGCTCACAGCCATCTGCAACTCCAGCTTAGGGGACTGACACCTTCTTCCAGCTCCTGCAGGCACCTGCACACACATGCCATAAATACACGCACATATAAGAATCTTAATTTTTTTTCCAAATTTAGGACCTTTTCTCCAAAAGTTTTAGACAATTTTGTAAACTAAAACCACTCTAATTTGATAGCCTGCTGCACTTCCCCAGCCCAAGCCTCGCCCTGGAGCTGTGTTATGGCCGACTGTGCTTGTGGCAGCATCCAGACAGAGGCAGAACAGTGGCCAGGCCACACGGCATCCATCGTGTTGGTTGTACTGACTGGTGGCTGAGCCGTGCTCCTGGCTTCTCTCTACACTATGTGCTTCATAAATGTTCCATGTTTGCATTCATGGCCTCAAGTCCCTACAAGCACTGTAAGGCCAGAGGAGCAACAGAAACGGCTACATGATGTAAGCAATCATCATGTGGAACTTCTTGATGCTGCAGACATTTTTGCTGGCTAGTACAAGAACCACATGGCTCCACCAAGGGACCTAGTACATCACTACCTTGATTTTCAGAAGGCTGAGTTTGTCTGACTCCTGGCTGGCAGTGGGCTCTGGGCCAGGCCAGATGTGAATCTCCAGCACAGGTCCATTAGTTTCGGCTTTCTCTACCATGGGAGAGAATATCCACACCTATTGGAAAATCCCCACCCACCATACCATACTGTGAACCACAGTATTCCGCTCTGAAAGCAAGGCCCTGCTCCTTTGTCCTGGGCTGGACAGGGCTGCGTGTGACTGACAGAGTAGCTTAGATGTCAGGATGACTGCACCTTTTAACAGTGGCTTTTCCTGGTGAGCCTCAGTATGCTCATCTTTAAAATGAACACAACAGAGGACCACTGTGAAACCCTGGACATACTTGGCTTCCTCCCTTCACAGTGATACCCAGCAGTGGTTCTGGTGGGCTCATTTCTGGCAGGAAGTTTGCCAGTGAGGGCAGCTCTGAATGTACCTAATTGTTCTTTTCTGCAGGAGGAAGTGCTCCGGAATAGCTTTCAGGACCTGGCCACGGAAGTTGCTCCCCTATACAAGCAGCTTGCACCCCAGGCCTATCAGAACCAGGTACTGAAGCCAGGGCTTTTGTCTGCCACATGCAGTTTTTACTTAACACTCCCTGATGTTGGAAAGTTGGGGGTGTGGCTTCCTTTGCATTTTTAAGGAGAGCTCAGCCTAGAGGTCTCCTGGAGCCATTGTGTGCTTTGCTAAGACTTAGAGAGTCTACCCCTAACTCTCCATCTTCCCCCACCTCGTAGTCTCTAGTGCCTCTGGCCTAGCTTCCTTTACAGAAGCTTGAGTTCCTGTCTAGGCAAGCAAGCTTGAGCTAACCTAAGAGAGAGCCATTCTTTCAGAACCAGGGCCTTTCAACTGGAAAAGCTTCTTCTCATGGCCCAGGTTCAGAAGACAGCTGTGATCCTTAACCTACTTCTAAGATCTGGATTCCAGGTGCAGCATGGGGGCTAGTCACTTAGGCTTTCTAAATATTCACACAGGTGACCAATGAGGATGTGGCGATCGACTGCCGCCTGGGGCTGAAGGAAGGGAGGCCCTTTTCAGGGGTCACAGCCTGCATGGACTTCTGTGCCCACGCCCACAAGGACCAACATAACCTCTACAATGGGTGCACTGTGGTAAGGAAGCCTGGGACCAGTAGGAGGAGCCAGCTAATGGGTTTTGCTCCTTATGAGGAGGGAAGTAGGGTATTGGCTAGATGGCCTGCTCTTTCCCCTCCTCTAAGAAAACCATCACAGCAGTAGGAGGACCAGTGACAGGAGGCATATGAGGAACCAGAGCCAATGTGTGAATTTACTGAACAGTAGAACAACTAAGATGAGGTTTGGGGATGAAAAATGGAAGAGTCTTTCTAGAAATGCCTGTTAGGCTGCATGGGTTGTGTAAGGGAGGTTTGAAGAATGAATGGATCCTCAGAAGCATGCGCGTGCTCGAGAAGATGGGGCGTTGGGGCTGACTGAAGTGGAGACACCCTCAAGGGAACCGGTGCTGCTGTAGCCGTTGTGCTTGCTTTTCAGCTGGGTCCAGTACATGCAGGACTGCAGGGACTGGGGAGAGCGTAGGAGAAGGCTGGGGGTCCAGACTCCGATGCTGGAAAGGGCAGGCCCTCACGGATAGAGAGAGTAAGAGGTGGGGACACTGGCGAGCAGGAAGGAGCAAGAGCACCAGGAGGTCACCTGAACGCCACACTCCTGCACGCTCTGCTGTTAAAGACTGTCAGCAGCAGAACTTTCTAAACCTTTTCATGTCTTAAAGTCTCTGCATGTGTGTACACAAGTGGGTCTGCGCGTGCGGACATGCATGCACATGCATGCGACTGTGCCTGGAGACCCAAGGTCAATCTCTGGGGTTCCTATGACGCTATCTACCCTTAAAGGTTTTACTGTTATTTTTGAGTCTCTCATGGGCACCTGGAGCTGGGCAGTTAGGTTAGGCTGGGTGGCCAGTAAAACGAGATGCACCTGTGCCTGACTTACGTGGGTCCTGGACTCTAACTCGGGCCCCCAGTTTGCACAGAATAGCTTTATGCACTGAGCCGTCTGCTTATAGGAACTTAGAGTTGGCGATTGGAGAGATGGTTTAGCAGTTAGGAGCACTTGCTATCCTTCAGGAGACCGTCAGTTTATTTCTCAGCACTTCAGCTAACGCCACCATTGGCTTTAGGGAATCTGGTGCCCTCTTCTAGCCTTTGTGATACATACAGCATACATGCACATGGACACAAACACATGCATATAATTAAAAAAAAAACTAAACTCTTTTCTGAAATCTTTAGCAATAACCACAGTCAGTGTTTGGCCATCCTTTCTGCAGCTGTGTGTATGACCATGGCCATACACAGCTGTATAAACCTCCACCCTCATGGGGGTCCACCTGTTGCCCTGTGGTGTGCTTTTCTTAACCAGTGGTAACTTGGGCTTTCTGTGTCAGTGGGTGTGGCTTCACATTTAAATTTGTTGGAGCTTCATGTTTAGCTCTGATATCAGCTATTTAGCCAGTTCCCCCACAGATGGACAGTTGATGAGCCACACACTTCCCACCTGTATGTCATGAGGAATTCCTGCAGCTCAGTGCAGAACTGATTTCTTCTGGAGCACTACCCCTGCTACCCCTGCTCCCCACATAGAGACAGTGACAGTCACAGTGCTTGTTCAGTTTCCTGCAGCACAGGATCCTGTCAGTCTGCCTGATTTGTGAGGTGGGCCTCTTATAAGCTAAAGAGGCTGAACGTCTTCTCCTGTTTCTCTTGCCCCCCCCCTTAACATTTATTTATGGGTATGAGTGCTCTCTCTCTGCATACAGAGCCTGCAGGCCAGAAGAGGGCATCAGCTCTCAGTGTAGATGGTTGTGAGCCACCATGTGGTGGCTGTGAAGTAAACTCAGTACCTTTGAAAGAGTAACCTGTGCTCTTAACTGCAGAGCCATCCCTCCAGCCCCTCTCTTGCCTCTTAATTTCACCCTTGAGGGTGTCCCATTTATGTCCTCTGTTTCCTTTCTAATCATCATTGCCATCTTTGACATTGTAAAGTCCTTAGGTGACGAGGGACAGAGGCAGTCTCTTCCTGTAATAGGCGATCCACTGTGTCTTACCTCCGCTGCCGGTGATCTCTGCTCTGTTTATCACATGGGGTGTCAGGAAAGGGAAAGCACAAGGCCAAGGGCCAGCTGACCTTGGAATAAGCAGGAGAAAAAGTAAATTGTGGAGACTGGAGAGATGATGGCTCACCCACTAAGAGCACTGACTGTTCTTCTCGGGGGTCCTGCGTTCAATTCCCAGCAACCACTGGTGACTCATAACCATCTGTAATGGGATCTGATGCCCTCTTCTGATGTGTTTGAAGATAGCAACAGTATACTCAAATACATACAATAAGTATTTTTTTAAAGTAAATTATATTAGAAGATTCAAAGTACAAGAGACATTTACTATGTTTTAAAAAAATGTTGTTAAAAAAAACTATGCATAATATCCTATTTAGTTACCCAAAAGTATCATATACCCATGCATGCATATGTAACTAATGTTTACAACTAATTTTTCCTGGGGTCATTTTAAATAATAAGAAAGGTTACCTTAGAAGCAGCAGAGCTTGAGGGGTCAGGATTCAGGGGGAAGGTATCAGCCTGCCGATAAGGTGCAGTGGTGACAATGGTGGGCTTCAGGTAGAGCTGCCTCCCTAGCCCCAGCTCAGCCACATCGGGGCACAGGAGATAGCACCACTGAGCATTCTGCAAGCTGCCTCCCAGGCTCTGTGTTGTTAGTGTCTAGAACCTTAGTGCCCAGGGCAGTATGATGGGACACGGGAGATGGCTGGCACTAGGGCTGTGTGGAGGTGACAGTTTGGGGGCTCAGACCCCTCTCTCCAAGCATCGACCCCAGACCCATATCTTTTTCTCCCTGTGTGGGGCAGGTTTGCACCCTGACCAAGGAAGACAATCGCTGCGTGGGCCAGATCCCCGAGGATGAGCAGCTACATGTGCTGCCCCTGTACAAGATGGCCAGCACGGACGAGTTCGGCAGTGAGGAGAACCAGAACGCGAAGGTCAGCAGTGGGGCCATCCAGGTGCTCACAGCATTCCCTAGAGAGGTCCGGCGGCTGCCTGAGCCTGCCAAGTCCTGCCGCCAACGGCAGCTGGAAGCCAGGAAGGCGGCAGCCGAGAAGAAGAAGCTGCAGAAGGAGAAGCTGAGCACGCCAGAGAAGATCAAGCAGGAGGCCCTAGAGTTGGCTGGTGTCACCACTGACCCAGGTAAGCAGGGGCACCACCTGAAGGGGGCTCACCCCCACCTCATGTCACACTGGCCACTTAGGAGGAAGGTCCTGACGTGGTTCACTCTGTCCTTCAGAAAGATGTCCTGTAAAGTGCCTGAGTATAAAGCACCTGGACAGAGCACGTGGCTGCTCCAGCACACCCTGACTGTGTCTGGGGCTCTGGGGCAGAGGCCATTGTTGTAGGCCCACAGTGGGAAGCAGGCTGTGAGCATCTGAGCTCCCATTCCTCCATCACAGCAGTCTCTGCTGCAACCTCCCACCACACACACACACACACACACACACACACACACCTAGGGAGAATGAGCTTCGGCTGAAACTGAGCCGTTTTCTGGGGCCAGAGAGTAGAGTGATGGCGAAGAGTACACAGGCTCTGCACAAGCTCTGCCTCTCCACCTTGGGAGTCTTAAGGGGAGCCCAGGAGTAAACCCAGGCCAGGTTTGAACTTGCCTCAACACTTCATCCAATCCTGCCTCTCCAGAGAAAGAACACTTCTCAGGCAGGGAAGGAGGTTCCATCTCCTGTCCTCTGCACCTAGACCTTACTAGGCTGTGGTATCTACCTCATCTTCCACTTAGCCTTCTGCCTTCCCCAGGCCTGTCTCTGAAGGGTGGATTGTCCCAGCAAAGCCTGAAGCCCTCCCTCAAGGTGGAGCCTCAGAACCACTTTAGCTCCTTCAAGTACAGCGGTAACGCGGTGGTGGAGAGCTACTCGGTGCTGGGCAGCTGCAGGCCCTCCGACCCCTACAGCATGAGCAGTGTGTACTCCTATCACTCGCGCTATGCACAGCCTGGCCTAGCCTCCGTCAACGGCTTCCACTCCAAGTACACACTTCCCTCCTTCGGCTACTATGGCTTTCCATCTAGCAGCCCTGTCTTCCCCTCCCAGTTCCTGGGTCCCAGTGCCTGGGGACACGGGGGCAGTGGAGGCAGTTTTGAGAAGAAGCCAGACCTCCATGCTCTACACAACAGCCTGAACCCGGCCTACGGTGGTGCTGAGTTTGCCGAGCTGCCAGGCCAGGCTGTTTCCACAGACAACCACCACCCCATCTCTCACCACCAGCAGCCTGCTTACCCAGGCCCCAAGGAATATCTGCTACCCAAGGTCTCCCAGCTCCACCCAGCATCCAGGGACCACTCTCCCTTTGCTCAGAGCTCCAGTTGCTACAACAGATCCATCAAGCAAGAGCCAGTAGACCCTCTGACCCAGGCTGAGTCCGTACCCAGAGACTCTGGTAAGATGAGTAGAACACCCTTGCCCGAAGCATCTCAGAATGGGGGACCCAGTCATCTATGGGGACAGTACTCAGGAGGCCCAAGCATGTCCCCAAAGAGGACTAACAGTGTAGGTGGCAACTGGGGAGTGTTTCCTTCGGGGGAAAGCCCCACGGTTGTTCCCGACAAGCTCAATTCTTTTGGGGCCAGCTGTCTCACCCCTTCACACTTCCCAGATAGCCAGTGGGGCCTGTTCACTGGTGAAGGTCAGCAGTCAGCCCCCCATCCTGGAGGACGGCTTCGAGGCAAGCCATGGAGCCCCTGCAAGTTTGGGAACGGCACCTCGGCCTTGACTGGTCCCAGCCTGACTGAGAAGCCATGGGGGATGGGAACAGGGGATTTCAACTCCTCCCTGAAGAGTGGTCCTGGGTTCCAAGACAAGTTGTGGAATCCTGTGAAAGTGGAGGAGGGCAGGATTCCCACGCCAGGGGCCAACCAGCTAGACAAAGCCTGGCAGGCCTTTGGCATGCCCTTGAGCTCCAACGAGAAGCTATTTGGGGCCCTGAAGTCAGAGGAGAAGCTATGGGATCCCTTCAGCCTGGAGGAGGGGACAGCCGAGGAGCCCCCCAGCAAGGGGGTGGTGAAGGAAGAGAAGAATGGACCTGCAGTGGAAGAGGACGAGGAGGAGCTGTGGTCGGACAGTGAACACAACTTCCTGGATGAAAACATCGGCGGTGTGGCTGTGGCCCCCGCCCATTGCTCTATCCTCATCGAGTGTGCCCGGCGAGAGCTACATGCCACCACACCACTCAAAAAACCCAACCGTTGCCACCCCACCCGCATCTCGCTGGTCTTCTACCAGCACAAGAACCTCAACCAGCCCAACCACGGGCTGGCGCTTTGGGAGGCCAAGATGAAGCAGCTGGCGGAACGGGCGAGGCAGCGTCAAGAGGAGGCCGCACGCCTGGGACTGGGCCAGCAGGAGGCCAAGCTCTATGGGAAGAAGAGAAAATGGGGGGGTGCTATGGTGGCTGAGCCCCAGCACAAAGAAAAGAAGGGGGCTATCCCTACCCGGCAGGCGCTGGCCATGCCCACAGACTCGGCAGTCACCGTGTCCTCTTACGCCTACACAAAGGTCACTGGCCCCTACAGCCGCTGGATCTAGGTGCCAGGAGCCAGCGTACCTCAGCGTCGGGCCCGGCCCGAGCTGCTCTGTGGTGCTTTTGCCCTCATGCCCGGGGGCGGGTTGGGGGTGCAGAAGTCTCTCTATATCTACATATATGGATATGCTTATCATATATATGTATTTATGGTCCAAACCTCAGAACTGACCCGCCCTCCCTCCTCTACTTCCTCGACTTCCCCAGCACTTTGAAGAAACTACGGCTGTCGGGTGATTTTTTTTTTTTTTGATCTTAATATTTATATCTCCACGTTGTTTTAATTTTTTCCCCTTGTTTTGAGGGGCTTTTATTTTCCTTTTGTTTTTAAAATTTTATCCTTGTATATCACAATAATGGAAAGAAAGTTTATAGTGTCCTTTCACAAAGGAGCGTAGTTTTAAATTCCATTTAAAATATGTATTTATTGGATTTTTTAAAAAGTGACAATAGTAATGGGTTACAGGTGGGCAGGAAAGGCCAGCAGAACTTCGTGCCTGGCGAACCCAGCCTCCTGGGAGCTGCAGGTTCTCCCAGCCATCTGCCCCCACCAGCCAAGGTTAGCATGTAGCCCTGGTCTATCCCTCCTTCCCATGGGCTAGGGAGCCTTTGGGAGCACCCCATTCTCCTCTGTGGAATGGGGAAGCTGCAGACATCTGGGGGCCAGGCCTGGAGATGCTGGTGTTAGATCTCCCCAGAAACCAGGTTGGAAGTAGACAGCTTCAAGCTTGCTAGTCTCCACACTGAATCCTCTCTGTCCGTTATTTATCAAGTCATACGATGTCCTGGTTCGCTAGGCAGCACCTCACGCTGGAGCAGGAGTCGAGAGGCTCTCTCGTCCCGTTGATAAAGCTGGTGAGTACTGGGCGGAAGGAAGCTTAGTGGCAGTTTTCTAAAAAATCGCCCCAAAGTTTGTCAATACTGAAAAAGGGCTACTGTATCTTTAGAAACAAGAAGTTGAACCCAAGCTGTGAAGAGCCAGTGTGCTGTGTGGTGCTCTGCAGGTGCTCTGCGGTGCTGTGTGGTGCTGGAGCCTGGTGCTGTAGTACTGTGCTGGGACTTTTCTGACTCTCAGGGCAGGTGGCATCCTGCCAGAGCTCAGCAAGCCAGTGTGATGGCAGGTCACGCGTCATACTTATTCCTGGATCTTCACATGGGACAATGGTGCAGTCCTCCCAGCCCTCACAGGGCATGGTCTACACTTCACTTAAAGTGCAAGGGTCAGGCGTTTTTCAACAGGTTGCTATACTTTTCCTCCTTCGAGGGGGCCAGTTCTCCATTGGATCTTTTCTCTCCTCCCTCTCCCTTCTCCACCTCCCCTGTAACATGCCCATTCTAAAATCCTGGTGCATTCATTCAGCTCTTTGAAAATGAGAACGTTGGTGCTTTAATTTCTGTGACATCGAAAGGTTGGGCCTGACAGGTGGAGGCGGTGTTGTCTGCAGCAGGTCAGTCCTCACGGAGTGTTTGTTTTCAGATGCCGTTAGCCATGTTGTCAGGCTGCTCGTGTGTGTGGACGTGTGTAGTGAGTGGGGGGCTTCATCAGGGCACACACAGTGGCAGCCGAGCCCTGAGACGGCAGTTATCACGTGGTTCCAGCCAGGTTTGGTCTTCATAAACTGAGCGTAGTGATCCCACGACAATGCTGAAGGCAGGTCCGGGTCCCCAAGCTTCGCGGTGCCTTGTGCCAGAGCTGAGAGCCGAGCGGCCAGGTGTTGACGAGAGCCCTTCGGAAGCGCTGGCGGAGAGTGGCTAAAAGGTGTCCTGAGCATTTTTGTGGTCTGGTTTTAACTGTAAATAGTGAAAGATTTTTTTTAAGCACTTTTGCCTAGATTTAAACAGCAACTTGAAAAGAATAAAAAGTACATTTTAACATGAAATTGTGGGAGAAACTGTAAATAGTAGCTGAATATTTAATGTGCTTTGTCAATCCACCTTTACCGTATTCTGTAAAGTTGCAATTATTTTACAGGACAAAAAAAAATGAAATTATTATTGCTTTTGAAATAAATACCCAAGAGCTTATCAGGACTTAGAATTATTCAGAATTCAGATTTATAGGAAAGCCTCTGACCCTCTGTTTGACAAGCTCACGAGTCAGAGTCTTTAGGCGCATGCTAATTTTCTAGTTTTGAAGGAGTGTGGGTCCTTTAAATGCTATTTTGCTTAATCGAATCAGTACTTTTACGCTGGTCTCATCTGACTCCGTGCTTAGGTAGATGCGGGGGTGCCTTGAAAAACTTCATTTTAAATAATCTTAAATATGATATTTTACAAAGCATTTGGAGAATGTGACCGTGTATACGGCCCATGGAAGCCCCAGGTTACCTGTTGGCTTGCAAGGTCCTGAGCGTGGCCCAGGTGACTGTTGCTGGCAGTGTGTGGATCTCTCTGACGCGTGTTCAGTATGCTCAACCCTCCTCACCCTTTGGTAGCAAAGCCATTAGCTGAATGGAGAAACCAGTACAAGCTAAAAAAGCATGTGGTGTCCATCCCCCAGCCTGTACGGCCTTTGTTCATATGCTCTGGGCCAGGAAACAGGCTGCCGTGAGGTGAGACAAGAGGCCTTCCACATTGGCCTTTCAGGTCCTAGCGAGCGCTGTTTCAGGGCTCAGTGCTGTGGCTGTGCGTGAGCCCGTGCTGATTTTCACACACTACATGTATAACCTACCTCAAATCTGTCATTGAAATGAGCATGCTTTAGACGTGTATTTAAGACGTAACTATGCACAGTTCTTTATCCCCGTCCCTTGCTGCTGAAGGCTTCTTAGAGAGAAAAATCAAAATTTTTATTTTTACTGGCACTATCATTTTTTAAGTCCTGAAGATGATTGACAAAACATTTTTATCATGAGAAGGAAAAAAAAAAAAATAAAGCCATTGCAACTCAAGAACCTGACGGCATGAGCGAGATTTAAGAGTGACCATGACAGCCAGGGAGATGATGGCTTCGGAGTCTGCTCCCAGTGTGCCCGCCCGTCCGTCTCCACAGTCCACACACAGTGCAAGCGTTTGCTGCCCCGCCCCAGCTTTGTTTTGTTCTACATTGTTTTTGTTCCCCGAGCCTGTTGTGTGCAAGAGGACTTTCGAAGTTCTGACCCGAGAGATTTTCTTTTAGCATATAAGTCATTTTGCAGCAGGGTCTCACACAATAACTGGTGCTAGCTGGAGAAACCACCTGTTGGTAGCTCCACTGAGGGGGTCACGTGGATGGGGAGGGTTCAGTTTGAAGACTGGTTCTTAGTGGGGGCTGAGCACCCCACCCTAGCCCTCCAGGGTGCTGCTTTGCCTTTTTGCTGTGGTGGCCCTGGTCCATGGGAAGGGATTCTGCCTTCTCTGGTCCTCCCATCTGCTGCTTAAGGAAACAGTAGTTTGCAGAGCTAGGGGTTGTTAGTGCTGAGTGGCAAGGACAGACGTAGCAGAGTTCTGTGACTCCATAGCTAATGGCAGTGGATGTGTGAGTGTGGTTGACAGTAGCTGAAAACCCAATGTCACAGATTGAGGAGACTTGACTGCCTCAGATGACAAAGCAAGGCCAAGCTGGTGAGAAACTGATATATCCCTGATGTGCCTCAACCAATCTCTTTCCTTTTGTTACTGAAGTGTGTTTTCTGGACTTGGAAGCATTTTTATGAATTGAAATAGTCTAATAAATGGTGCTATGGTGTTTCAATGTGACTGTCCCTGATCTTGTTCCCCTGAGGTGCTATCAACGTTTGAAACCACAACCAACCAACCAAAAACCGAGGTGGGCTCCGTCTCTCAGCTTTTCTTTTCTCTTTTGGTGCTGTCTTTGTAGACCTCTGTTTACCATGCTGTGTCTGCTCTGAGCAGTGTTCTGGGTCTGGTGTTTTGTTGTTCCCCTTGGTGGCCAAAACTAGGCTCACAGAGAAGGTAGCTTGCTCCGTGCAAGGACAGCAGTGGCCGGCTGCCTGGGCAGGTGCTGTGGATTTGTCTGTCTTCTTAGCCAGATTAGAAAGGGGGTGGTGGCTTTGAGAAGGAGAGGCAGGGCTCCTACCTCTTCTTGTTCATCAGGTATTCTCTTGCGTCCCAGGGTGCTAACCCCAGAGGGGACAGGCTGTGGTCCAGGGGCAGCACCTTTACCTGGCCCCAGCAGGGATGGGATGGGCAGGACTTTGGGGTCTTGCTGCTCATTGATAGCTCCTGGTGCTCAGACTAAAGGCAGGTGCTTTTCTTTGTCCCTCATTGCCACCAAGGCCGCTTTTAGTTGGTGCTAAACTTCTCCTTGTGTCCACATAAGCTGATGCAAAATGGAAGAACTCGACAGGAAGCTCAGTTTTTACGTCATCCACTGTCACATTTTTTTTAAAAAATACCTCAAAAACAGGACATTGCAACAACTTAGATTCCATGAGGGTATGATACTCACAGCTGTCCATGGGATGACTTCCTTGACCTTGACACATCTGGGGTCATTCTCTCTGTTCATTCTTAAGAAGTAAAATGACAGAGTGCCTAAGGGAAGGAGCGTGCTTGGATTTTTTTCATTCTCTTAAGTTTTGCTTTTGAATAAAATGTGAAATCTCCTCTGCCCATCTCATCGGGCTTTCTGTCACGGTTGCTGTCAGTCATCGGGCTTTCTGTCACGGTTGCTGTCATTTGAAAACCTATACAACACCTGGTTTATCTGCTGTCTTGCCAGGCCAACTTCACCACATACCCTGGACCAAAATAACACATTGGAGGTGCAGACCCCAACCCAGGCTCACAGCCCACTCACCCATCAGTGCATAGTTGCTTCTGGGAGCGCCGCCTTCCTGAGAGAGCAGAGCAGTTGGCGTCTCACCTGAGGGGAGACCTCAGCACAGAAGCCGGGTTCTGGGCTTCGTGCCTGAGGCTCAGTGAGCTGTTCAGTCTGTTCCTCGTTTGCTTCTGTTCTGAAATCAGGGATGCTTTCTGTAGGGTGTCTGTCAGTCATGCTCTCCTCACTCCGACTGCTTGTCATTCAGGGGGACCCCTCACTCTTCACAGGGGGACAGATACTAATTGGCTCATCTGGACATCCCAAATTTTCTTGATTCCAATATAGATTTTTTTTTCTCTTTTGGGGGTGGGGGGGAGAGACAGGAGTGATGTCATTTCTTTTTCTTGTGTTTAAAGAAGCAAGGACCGGCTGTCTCACAGCATACTAATGCTTTAGACTTGACCTAGAACCCTTGTAGCTTTCAGATGTGTTTTATTTCTTATCTCTTTGAATTCCTGTTTGGTTACCTGGCTTCCAATGGAGGTGAACTTAACAACCATACTTGAATAATCCGTCTTGACTTTGTAAACTGTGGCTACTTGAAATGAAGTTTATCTGGGGTTGATGGATGAATGGTAGGTTTTTGCAATGTCTCAAGGCAATAGGATGTGTATTATTAAACTGTAGATATCTTAGTACAGTAAATTTATGCTGATAATTTTATTTTGTATAATTTCTACCTTTTTGTTAATATTTTCCTTCCAGTTTATTGGTTTGTCTCCTGAGCTATCGCCTCCCTTCTCCCCCAGTGTTTCAGTAAATTTAATTTAGGGTGCCTAGAAATTGCAAGTATGTATCCTTTTTTGATTTGTATTTTATTATAATTTACACAAACATCTGGGTTTGTGAACTGTATTACTCCTGGCATCTTTAAAATATTGTGGGTGTTTTAATAAATTTTATATTTATTTTTTGCACTCAAATTCTGTGTAAGCTTTTTTTTTCCCCCCTCTCACCTTGAACCAGAACCAGTCTTGCCCTTCTGGAATATATTATAGACACCCAAAGAAGCCTGCTCAGACCAGTGAGGGACCTGGCATCTGAGTAGACGAGGTCACAGACGGTGCTCTGGAGCAGCCCTTATCAGTTCTGGATCTGCTTTGTTCCCCTCCCTGTCGGTCTGGAATTCGGTTGTCCATACTTCTACCTTACAGCTACTAAGACCCCTGCATTGTGCTGGATCCTGATGGCTCTGACACAGTTGAGAAGTGAGGTGCAAAGCTGGACCCCAGGCTGCTGTACCTGGGGCAAAATAGGGGTGTCTTTAGTCCAGGTTGCGGTTCTGGTGGTGGCTGGGTTTGGGGGAAATTCTGAGCTAAGGAAGATAAAAGGACAGGAAGCTGCCCTCTTCTCCCATTTTCTCTGCCTGAAATGTCCCACCAAGCAGATCTAGCACCAGAAATGAGCTACCCATCAGACTAGAGGCCTTGTTGTGTTTTGAAGTTTTGCAGAGGAACCTTATAGAAATACATTGACATGCTGTCCAAGTTCCTGTATGTATATACACTACATGCCTGGTACCCTCAGAAGGTAGAAGAGAGTCTAATGTTGGGTCCCATAGGACTGGAGCTATACGTAGTTGTAAACTTCCGTGTAGGTGCTAGGAATTGAACCCAGGTCCTCTGGAAGAGCCCCTACCTAGCTACACTACTTGTTCAGCAACCTTATTAAAAGTTCTGTTGCTGGTGGGACTAGAGAGATGGCTCAGCACTTAAGAACACTTCCTGTCCATTCAGAGACCTGAGTTCTTAGCACCCACCTTAGGCAGCATACAATTGTCTGTAACTCCTGCTCCAAAAGATTGAGTGTTCTGGCCTCTATGGTTTTGCTTCTCTGAGAGTTTAGGGATGTTATGATCTGTAGATATTGCAGTAAGTCATTAGGAGTCGTTTTAATAGGATGTCTATTAACACAGGTTGTGTTTTCAACCTGTGCCATTTCACAGGGGCCACCTAAGACCATTGGAAGACACAGATATGTACATTGTGATTCATAGCAATTGCAGAATGAATTAGCAATGAGAATGTTATGGCTGGGGTCACTACAACATGAACTATATTAAAGAGTTGCAGCATTAGGAAGGTTGAGAACCACTTAACAAGATAATAGTAATAGGTTCTCTCCTCTGAGGCCTGTGACCTAGCTAGCCACAGATTCTTGGCCCCATTAGCAGTGTCAGACATGGGTTCCAGCTCATGGGTTCCCTTAGAGCCCACCAGAGAGCAGCTGGTTATTCCCATAACATTCTTATTACCACTGTAGCAGTGGGTATATTCTCTTTTGTCAGGCTAGTTGTTGTAGATAGTAGGGTTCGAAGCTGGGTGATTGCTTTTCTCCCTAGCAGCATTCCTAGCAGCACTGTGAAAGCTAGTCACTTGGGATGGAGCTGCCAGGTGAGTACCAGTTTGAATTTTCCATGTTGTGCGATTCAAGTGTGTGGTATGTTAACCACTTAAGGTATTACCATCAAGTGCTGCGAGGTAACAAGAGCACTGACTGTAGCCTGTGTTTGGGGACCTGTGGGACTCCATGGGCCAACTTAAAAACCTCATCTGGTCAACACGCAGAGAATAAGAAACTGTAGAGGGCTGTCCTGGAAAGGAACACACACAACACACACACACACCCAAAGACGCAGGCATGCACTCGACTCAAGGAGCTTCATGGAAGAGGGAATGGAAAGATTGTAAGAGCCAGAAGTAGTGGGTAACCTCAAGAAAATGGTGGTTTTCGGACACAGGAGAGCAGTTGCCACACAAACTCAATGGCAGTTGTAACAGCATGCGCAAGACCTGTACAGGCTCAAACCAAAATCCCATCATGAAAAGAGGAAGCTGGCAAAAGTCCCGCCACCCTGAGGAGTTCGAGCATTTGATAGGGGCTGGGAGAGGGAGAGGCCATCTTCTTTAATGATATGGCCCCACTCCCAAGGATAGTCAATGGGCAACAGAAACTGGACTTGGTGGGAAGAGAACACAGTTGGGTAAGAAGTGAGGGTGGAGAGAGTGGGTATAGGAGGAGTTGGGAGGGGAGCTGATAGGAAGTTCTTAAACAATTGGTAAGATCTTATTTTAGAAGTTTTGCTGTTGGCCCTGCAGGTTGCCAACTGCC